GCACCCCTCGGGGTTGCGCCCACACCTCGCTCAGCCAATGAGCAGGAACCGGTCTGTATGTGGGATCCGAACCCTCGGCGGGAGCGCCACCACACTCCCAAGCGGCGCACTGTAGCAGTGCACCACTGGGCCGGCCCGATACCTAGGAAAAAATGGCAGGAGCGCCACCGCACTCCCAAGCGGCGCACTGTAGCAGTGCACCACTGGGCCGGCCCGATACCTAGGAAAAATTTTAACCAAGGAGGTAAAAGATCTCTACAATGAAAGTACAAATCACTGCTGAAAGAAATTAAAGAGGACACAAAAAGATGGAAAGACATTCCATGCTTTTGGATTACAAGAATTAATACTGTCAAAATGACCATACTACCCAAAGTGATCTACAAATTCAGTGTAATCCCCATCAAAATACCAATGACATTCATCACAGAAATAGTAAAAACAATCATAACATTCATATGAAACAACAAAAGATCCTGAATATCCAAAGCAATCCTGAGCAAAAAGAATAAAGCTGGAGGCATTATGCTACCTGACTTCAAAATATACTACAAAGCTATCATAACCCAAACAGCATGGTACTGGCATAAAAACAGACATATGGACCAATGGAAAAGAATAGAGAACCCAGAAATAAATCCACATATTTACAGCCACTGGTCTTTGACAAAAGCACCAAGAACATACATTGGGGAAAAGACTACCTCTTCCAGAAACAGTGTTGGGAAGACTGGATATCCATACATAGAAGAATGACAGTAGACCCCTGTCTCTCACCACTTAACAAAATCAACTCAAAGTGTATTAAAGATTTAAATGTAATACCCAAAACTATAAAACTACTGGAAGAAAACATAAGGGAAACACTCCAAGACATTGGTCTGTGCAAAAATTTTATGGAGATGACTCCTAAAGCACAGGCAAGAAAAACAATAATAGACAAATGGGATTACTTCAAAGTAAAAAGCTTCAGCACAGCAAAAGGAACAATCAACAGAACAAAGAGGCGACCAGCAGAATGAGAGAAAATATTTGCAAACTATTCATCTGACAAGGGACTAATACCCAGAAAATACACATAACTTAAACAACTTAACAGCATAAAACCAAATAATCCAATTTAAAAATGGGCAGATAACCTGAATAGATGTTTCTCAAAAGAAGACATACAAATTTCCAACAGGTATATGAAAAAACGCTCAACTCAACATCATTAATCATCAGGAAAATGCAAATCAACACCACAATAAGATATCATCTCACCCCAGGTTAGAATGGCTATTACTAAATGCAAACAAGGATATGGAGAAATGGGTACTCATACACTATTAGTGAGAATGTAAATTAGTAAAGACATCATGGAAAACTATAGAGCGGTTCCTCAAAAAACTAAAAATAGAACTACCATATGATCTGGCAATCACACTGCTGGGTATTTCTCCAAAGGAAAGGAAATATAACAAAGAGATATCTGCACCTCCATGTTTATTGCAGCACTATTCACAACAACCAAGATATGGAATCAACCTACGTGTCCACTGACAGATGAACAGATAAAGAAAATATTTTATATATACACAATGGAATACTACTTGGCCATTAAAAAGAATAAAATCCTGTCATTTGCGGCAACATGGATAAGCCTGGAAAGCATTTCATTAAGTGAAATAAGTCAGGAACAGAAAGATAATTACCACATGTTCTCTCATATGTGAGACCTAAAAAAAAAAAAAAAAAAAAAAGTTGAACTTTTAAAAGTAGAGTGTAGAACTTTGGTTAGTAGAAGCTGAGAAGAGGAGGGGGGAGAGGGATAGTGAGAGGTTGGTTAATGGACACAAAGTTACAGCTAGATAGGAAAAATAAGTTCTAGTGGTGTATGGTAGTGCTAGGCATCTATAATCAACAATAATTTATTGTGTGTCCTCAAATGGCTAGACAACTTTGGTTAGTAGAAGCTGAGAAGAGGAGGGGGGAGAGGGATAGTGAGAGGTTGGTTAATCGACACAAAGTTACAGCTAGATAGGAAAAATAAGTTCTAGTGGTGTACGGTAGTGCTAGGCATCTATAATCAACAATAATTTATTGTGTGTCCTCAAATGGCTAGAAGAGAGGAGCTGAAATGTTCTTATCACAATGAAATGATAAATTTTTCCAATGATAAATTTGCTTATACCTTGATTTGATTGATTGCCACACACTGTATACATGTATGGAAATGTAACTCTGTACCCCATAAACATGTACAATGGGTACATTTTGATTATAAAATAAAATAAAATATTTTTTTAAAAAAGAAGAAAACAAAAGAATGAGAGAAGAACATCAAAACAGATCCTACAGAGGATATAATAATAAGAGAATATTATGAGGCGCCTTAGCAATAAATTTGACAACTTATGAAAAGGACAAGCTCCTTGAAAGACAAAAACTACCCAAACTGACTGTGTTGAGGGTTCCCAAGACCACTCGTAGGATCAGTGACTCATTAGGAGGACTCACAGGCTTCCAGATATAGTTGTACTCATAGTTAAGATTTATTACAGCAAATGGACACAAAACAAAATAGGCAAAGGAGGAGGCACGTAAGGAGAAGTCTGGAGGAAACCAGCTATTAGCTTCCTAGAGTCATCTCCCAGTGGAGTCACACAAGACATGCTTAATTCCTGCAGCACTGAATTGTGACAACATATGTGAATTGTTGTCTATCAGGGAAGCTCATTAGAGACTCCATGGTTTTGGGGGGAGCTGCTCATGTGAACATCCCCAGGCTAGCATATGCCAGAACTCCAGACTCCCAGAAAGAAAGCAGATGTTCAGAATAAACTAATAGTGGGCACAGTGAGCCACTCCTGTCAGTTAAAAAACGGTGAGAACCCTCCCCAAACCCAAATTTCCAGGCATCAGCCAAAGGCAAACCTTACAAGCAGGTCTTTCTAAGGATAGCATTCACTGCCATGTTAAATCTTTTTTGCACTCCACAAGAAGAAATTGAGAATCTGAATAGCTCTGTAAGTAATTTAAATACTGAATTTGTTATTTAGAATTTTCTCACAAAGAAAAAAGCCCCGTTAGCTTCACTGCTGAATTGTACCTAACGTTTAACAAAGAAACAATACCAATTCTGCATCGGAAAGGACATATTCCAATTCAGTTTATGAGGCAAATATAACACAAAAACCAGACCAAAAGAGTATAAGAAAAAATGAAACATACAGATCAGTATTCCTCATCAATTCAAAATCTTAACAAAGCATTAGCAATTTGAATCCAGCCATATATAAAAAGGATAATACGTTATGACCAATTCAAGTTTATCCCAGGAATGCAAGGTTATTTTAACATTTGGAAATCAATTAATGTAATTAATATTAAAAGAATACCAAATTTTTTATCATCTTAATAGATACAGAACAAGCATTTGACAAAATTTAACACCCATTCATGATAAAAACTCACTGATGATAAAAGCTCAGCAAACCAGGAAAAGAGGGAAATTTTCTCAACCTGATAAAGAGTATAAACAAAAAAACTACAGCTAACATTACATGAAATGGTAAAAGACTAAATACTCTTCATCTGAGATGAGAAACAAGGCAAGCATACCCACCCTTAGAACTTTTATTCAACATTGTACTAGAGGGTCCTAGCAGTAGGGATATACTAGGACTCTAGCAGAGGGTTCTAGTGCAGTAAGTTGAGAAAATGAAATAAAATGTATGCTGTTTTAGAAAGAAAGAAGTAAAATTGCCTTAAATTAACAGACTACATGATCACATACATAGAAAACCCCAAAGTTCAACAAAAAAACCTACTATAACAATAAGTTAATTTAAAAATGAGGTAAATGTATAAAAATCAATTGTACTTCTATAAATGAACAAAGAACAATTAGAAAAATAAAAATTTTAAATACTGTTTAAAATAGGATCCCCAAAAAAGAAATATTCAGGGATAGATTTAACCAAATATTTGTAAGACCTATATAATGAAAACTACAAAACGTTTCTGAGATGTATTTTAAAATATCCAAATAAATGGAAAGCTAACCCATGTTCATGGACTGGAAGACTAAATACTGTTAAAAGGTAAATTCTTTGCAAATTAATCTATAGATTCAACACAATCCCAACCAAAATTCCACAGAATTTTTGTTTTTAGAAATTTGACAAACTGATCCTAAAAGTGACATGAAAATGTAAAGGACCTAGAAGAGCAAAAAACAATTTTGAAAAAGAACAACAAAACTGAAGGACTTATACTACATTTTAAGACTTCTTAAAAACTTACATTAATAAAGGCAGTGTGGTAGCACCTTAGGTATAGACATATAATAAATGGAACATTATAAAGAGTCCAGAAATAGACCCACATATACTTGGTTAATTGCTTTTCAAAGAAATTACCAAGGTACAATGGGAGATAGAATAGTCTTTTCAACAAATGTGTGTGCTGGAACAACTGGAACTCAATATCTAAAAACGACCCTTGATACTTATGTCAAAACTACACAAAAATTAATTTAAAAATGTATTACAGACCACATGCTTATACTCATTTTTTTAAAGTCGAGAAACTTAAAATATAAAACAGGGAGAGAATCATCAGTGAGAGTGTTAATTTAACAGTTTGCACCCCCAATATATTTGAACTTTACCTGAAACTTCTTGTCTTCTTCAACCTTTTTCTGATTGCATAATTTATTGCAATGTTCTTGTAACTGAATATGAGTTTCTTTAAGTGATGATAATTCAGTTTTAATTTCATTAATTTCTCCAGTAAGTTCTTCAACCTATTATAAAATTTAACCAAAATGAGCAGGCATATATCTATTTTTTGTCTGAAAATACTTTATTAAAACAAATTTTGGAAAATAGTATAAAAAAATAACAATCACAAAGTAATTACTAACATTCAAAGCTACCACTTTATTGAATTGTGCTGAGTACTTAATAAACACAACTGCATACTCATAAAAACTCTATGAGGTATTATTATGCCCTCTTTACAGGGGAAAAATATGAAGCTCACAGAAAGTTACTTGCCCCAGATCACATAAAGTGGCAGTCAGGATTCAAATCCAAAGCTAAATCTAAGAAGTGTGTTCTTAACTACTACAGTAAACCAATTCTTGTTAAAAATGAAAATTTATGAACTTATTTTAATCATAAATATTCTATAAAAGATATACTTTCATTTCTTTCTTAAGTTTTATTTTCTTATTGCAAATTGGATATACAGATTTTAACCCAACTAGATGAACGATACTGAACACTAAGTGGCACTATGGAAACTGACACTTCGGCCTCATATTTACATCTGTAAATTGGACTTTTGTGTCCTGTAAAATTCCATAATCTTTTTTTGTGGGGGAGTGATGTTTCACAAAACCTCAAATATGAGACAAAGTAAGTTCCACTGAGGAGAAAAATAGCCTTTGTCTTGGAAGACTATAAAAGTTTCTCTTATACAATTTTAAAACTCCTTACCACAAAAGTGTGTAATATTCTTTAAAGAGGCAAGCAGATGTAAACTCACATTATTTTCCCTTCATCTCATCTATTTTTAACCATTTTTTAATCTATCTCTGCAAGGTACTTCTTTTCCAAGGCTAAACTCTCCATGTGTTCTTTATCCCATCCTCTCCTATCCCCCTCAGTTCTAGCTCGAGCAATTTTCTCTTTCTTCTGCCTATTCTCAATCTCACACCACATCAGCATGTTCTGCTCAGCCACCAATTACACTCTATTCACATTCCTGTTTTATTACTCTTTGACCCAGTTACTCCTTCTCTCTCACTTCTTAAAGAGACCACATTTGCTACTTTCAAATTCTAGCCTCTCATCATTTCCTAACAACCTGACTTCAGCCCTTACTGTTCTACTGATTGTTTTCTCATATATCACCTGTGAGTTAGCAAAAGGATTTTCCCAAGTCTCACATCATTTTCCAGCACTGTAATATTTGACTATGTTGACTACTTACTCTGTTCTTGAAACAGCCTCTTCTCTTGGCTTCCATTGTACTACTCTCTATTTTCCTACCTTTCTCACTGTTCTTATCAGGCTCTCTGTCCTCTCTTGCCCCAACACACACAAACTAACACTCACAGAATGTTGGCATTCCCCAAGGTTCTTTCTTTTTTAGCCCTCTTCTCTTCATGTCCTCCACTCCTTCCATAGGAAGTTATTTTATCTATAACTTCAAATTTCACTTTTATACTAATAAATCTTAAATTTCCTCTCCAACCTCTTTCCTAAGATTAGATTTTCATTTCCAAATGGATGGTATGCATTTCAAGCTAGATGTCCTGCAGGCACCGTAAATTCAACAGTTCTCAAATTCATTATTTTCATCCACCAAATATTCTCCTTTTACATTTCTTATGTCACTTAATGACATTATCATTCTATGAGTTATACTAATCTCAGAGTCACATTTGATGTGTTTTCTCTCTCCAATACCCATTACATATAAAATGTAACTAACCCTGCCAATTCTACTTCCAATATGCATCCTACATCTCTCCCTCTTCTCTGTTCTCACTACTACTGCCCTAATTCACACCCTCATAGGCTCATGGTTAGATTACAATATTCTTCTTACGGTTTCTTTCCATAAAGCCATCTTCCATACTGTCGCAAGTTATTTTCTAAAACACATATCTGCCTATGTCACTTCTTTGCTTTAAAACTCTCAATGGCTTCCTAATCCTTATAAAATTCAGCTCCCTTAGTAATGAACCCTTCAAAAGCTGATCTGAACCTATTTTCCAGTGTCACATTCCACATATCCTATTACTCAGAATAGACTATTCATCATCCTTGAAAATGCAGTTTCGTGCCCCCATAATTTTCCCCATTCTTTCTTAAGCGCAATGCCAACAGGATGGAATGGGAAGGGTAAGGAATTGGTACATTTTGCTTGGTGAAATCTTATTCATCCTTCAAGGACAAACTCTCTAGTGTTATCTTTTCTCTAAAACTTTCTCCAACCTAGTTAAACGACATGATTTATTTTGTGCTATCATATTACTTTTTTAATAATACAAAAAGCATGCTGCACTATTGTAATTAATTCCACAGTTATCTGTCCCTTGAGAGTGTGAGCTCTTTGGTAATCTGTATTTTAGGTATGTTTTAAAACCAGAGCCTACAATAGCACCTAACACATAGGATATGCTCAATAACTGCTGTGAATTAAATTTCTTTTGTGACCTCTCTTTCCCTAAATAATTTCTGAACCTCATTCATTGTTTTTTGTCTATGTACATTCATTTATATAACTAGTGAAAAATCAGAACATATATGTATAATGCTGTTATTTATATTTCAACAAATTTTAAAGATACCACCTAAAAATATGCAGTTAATTTTATTAGCATAGTATTTCCTTTCACTGTTTATTTTTTTAAATGACCAAGTATAAAACAGTAGTTTATATGATTCCAACTTATTTTTATCAATGTGTTTATCATATTTTTTTGTTTCTTTTTTTTTCGGTGGCTGGCTGGTATGGGATCTAAATCCATGACATTGGTGTTATCAGCACCACACTCTGAGCTAATCAGTCAGCCCTTTTATAATGTTTTTCTTAACTCATCTTGATCTAATCTCAATAGCCATACTATTATTGTCCTTCACTTAAGAATGGTTAAAAACCTACAGAGATAGATATTTAGATAGATAGGACAATTAAGACTAAATTTGACCTTGCATTCAAGAAAACTCTTATAGAACTAAAGCAGCTATCTCTTACTTAACTATATTCTGTTCAGTACCAAAGCATTATGGAAGGGAAGTGACTGTAGAATCTAAAAATTCTAAGATAAGACCAATTTTATTCAAATTTATAGATTGAGAGTTTCAGTCAAGATGGTGGAATAGATAGTCCTCAGCATCACTCTCTCCCACAAATCAACCAATTTACAACTATAAAAATGTAACATCAGCCAAGCAGGGGCTGCTGGAGCTCAGGGGAAGAAGAGGAGAGACGTACAGAGTGTATGAAGGCAGTAGAAACCATGATGAAAGAAAGAAAAAACTGTTCGGAGGGTTTCAGGCCACTGCTGCTTTAAGGCTCCAGCTGCTGAGCACAGGGAGCAGGAGCCGGCAGAAGCTGCAGCTGTGCCCTTCAGATGGAGTTACTTGGATGCGGCAGGGGAGAAGAGAGCCTTGGTGGCCCCCAGGACAGCAAGACCACTAATATGGTTCCCGTGGACCCACTTAGGAGTGAGGAGCCAGAACAGCTATAAAAGGAGCCATTCAGAGGCCAGTGAGTCATTGCAAGGGACCTGGACAAGGTCCGTCCCATGGGAAGTGTTTGGAGCATGGGCGGTGGGGAAGATGGGCCCAGTAGGAGAACACTGGGACACAGCAAGGACAGCTGATCTGCCCCACAATCAGCACAGGACCACTCAGAGGAGACTGGTCAGGAATGCAGAATTGCACGGGGTGCAGTTTGATGAAAAAACTCAGGCCCAGATTGGAGTTTCTACATAACCAAGGTGCACCCAGTCTCTGGAGAGCCAGAAGTACCTATAAGGTCAACCATTAAACCCCGAGCTGCACAAAAAGCCTTCCCTAGGGAAAGAGCAGCAAAGCAGCAATTTAGCTCAAACACAGAGCTCAAGTACTGGTTCCCACAGGAAGTTCCCCCATTTTAGAAGCAAAGGACAAAATTAGTTCCAGCCCAGGCATACCACCAGTGCCCTGGGGCCCTCCAAACATGAGGCATGGAGCCAGGGACCAGACCCCCCTCCTAGAACCAGGCACATGGCACCAGTGCCTCAGGGCCCACCCAGGGACCCGAGGTATGGAGCCGGGGACCAGACACTCCCCATAACCAGGCATTAACTCTTTAAAAAGAATTTCAAAGACAATGAAAATTGACATTAAAATAGAGTAATCAATTTTGGGGTCTACCAATAGTTAAAGTGAACCTTTATATTTCACAATTTGAATTTACATAATTTTACATTATTATCTACTTTGCTGAAATTAAGATTTAGTATAAAATAAATGTGGTTTAAGGAAATAGCCAAGTTTATAACAATCTTATCATAAAATGTTAATACTATAGAGCTCAACTATGGTATACGTGTTCTAAAGGTGGCTCTAATACATCTCAAAACTGCTGAGAAAAGCAAAATAGATCAATTAACAATAGTACATATATAATTATTTTAGTCATTTATTAAAATACTATGCAATGGTTTTATGAAAGGTAAATTAATTCTTTGTCACATATGGGAGGTCATTCAAATTATATATATGTATATGCACATATATATAAACCAAAATGTATATGTGTTGTCATCCATGAATAAAAACATTACAGGAAATTTTATTACATTTAGCTTTTTAAAAATTGTTAACTTTTTGGAAATATGAGTGCAAGAAGACAATATGTCTAACTTGATTCCTATATTATTTTTGCAGTATTTTCTAAGCATTTAATAGTTATTTTAAATTTCTACAACTACTTAAAATATTCTAATATTTAATAAACCTACATGTCTTTTCCAAGTTCCCAGTGCTTTCTCATGCTCATTTTGAAGATTAAGGAATTTTTCTTCATTTTCTTTTACCTTCTCCCTTTGCAGCTCATTATCTCTCTGAAGGGTCTGCAATAAAATTAATTATCCAAAAAATAATCAATACTACATTAATGAATTTTGATGAGTTTTATGTTGCTTGGACGTTTGCTTCTAACATGCTGAAAGTGCCATACAGATCAGTGATAATGTGCTATCTCAACAATAATTTTCATAAATTAACAGAAAGGTGCTTATAGTTTAGCTAACAGGAAATAGGGGGAGGTTATGATAAAGAAATGGCTATAAAAGGGTATAAAAACATTGCCATTATTCAGTTTCACTGCATAAGTTTTAATGTACTGAAGAAGTAATATAATGTACAGCACTGAAAAGTATGAAATGTAGCATAATCCAGCCTAACTCTACTAAAGAAATTTAACTACCACAGAACTTTTTTTCATATACGTTTATTTTAGAAATTAACTGGCTAGAACACCTTTAAATACAATTTTAATTTTAATTTCAAATTAACATTTTTAGCATAACTTAAATTTTTACCATATTAACTTAATTACTTCATTGAATTAACATAATAAAATCACCACCACACTAGCCCCTCCCCAGAAAAACCTTTAAGGAGTAAAAATACTACCAAGTGTTTTCTAAGACTAGGGTTTTAAAGCTATTCAGTCACTGACACCAATATTATTAGGTTTCTTCAATGGCTGCTGATAATCCAAGTAAACTTCTGTAAAAAGATAAATAGTAAGAACTCTTACCTATACGTCTAATACATCTGGAATTTTTAAGTTCATTTATTTATCATTGAAGCTATGCACACTCAGGGTAAAAATTTCAAGCTACACAAAAAGTATTTAAAAAGAAAAGGTAAAGTTATCCTCTATCAGTTTTTTCCCCAGAAGTAAAGCACTCTAGCCATTTCTTGTGTACCCTTCCAAAAATTGTCTATAAGCATACAAGTACGTAAAATATAACTTTTAAAATACAGATGAGACCATATCATAATACTTATTCTGTAATATGCTTTTAAAAAATTCTTACTTACTTTCCATATTAATACATATAGATCTATCTCATTTTATTTATTTATTTTTTGGCATCTGGCCGGTATGAGGATCTGAGCCCTTGACCTTGGTGTTATCAACACTGCACTCTAACCAACTGTGCTAACTGGCCAGCTCTAGATCCATCTCATTTTAAAGGCTTCACAGTATTCCATCTATTTAAAGAGTTTTCAATTATATCTAGAATATCAATATGCAAAGACATAATTATACAAAATTATGGCAAGTTACATAATAAAAAGCAGTTTTCCATTTTAACATAAAGATTTTCTACCTCATAAGGAGCTATGCACTTTGAGAGCACCCAATGAATACCTATTTTGATTGCCTCTATTTCAAGATAATGTAAGTATTTTTATAAATGTCACATTTCCTTAATACATAGGTACATGTAATAGGGCAATTTCTAAATATTTACAGTGGTATATAATTAATAGATGCTTAGTACTTTAATGGCCTAACCATTATTTTACAATATCTATTTATATTGATAACATACTACATTTTAGAAGATATACAAATCAAAGTTTAGGGAAGATATGGGAGAATATACCACAGGCTCTATACTAGTGATAATAAATGACTTAGAGCAGCATGTTCTTAAAATAATGTTCTAGATATTTCAATCATTTCCTGTCCTCACCCAGACCTCTATCTAAAAGAAACTGCCTACTTCAGGTATTCTCTGTTTCAATTTTCTGGGGATATCCCATCCCTCCATTACAATTTGGACCTATTGCTCTCTCAGTCTGCAGCACAAATCAAGTTATCTCTGAGGATTCCCTTCTTTCTTCTGTTGTGGGTCTTCTGCTTCCTAGATCCCATAATTTCCTCTTTCTTGGTTTACTTCCTTGTCTTGGGAGAGCAAATTTTCTATTATTTCTTGATGAATGAGACATAGATGGAAAACTTTTTGAGCACTGCATGTCTGAAGATCTTTATTCTACCAGTACTTAGCAATTAGTCTGGCTGAATACAGTACATTCTGCTTTGGAAATCAATTTCTCCTTAACTTCTGAAGGCATGATTCTATTGTCTTCTACCTTCCAGTGTTACCACTGAGAAGTCTGAAGCTATTATGTTGTCACCCTCATTCTTAATCCTTTGTATGTGATTTATTCTTTTTTTTTTTCTACAGAGTTTTAGAATCTTCTCTTCATGGGTGGTACATTATTTAGACTTTCCACACTGTTTTCAATATAATATATTACTCCCAGTAGTGTACTGGTGAACTAGCTGTTTAAAACAAAACAAAACAACCAAAAAAAACAGTCTGATTTGCCATTTTTGTTAGCGTTAAATAATCCCATCATGGTCAATTTCAAGCTACCACAGGTTTAACAACCAATTCACAAAATTCCTTAATATCTAACAACCAGCTCTCACTGGCCTGGCTGGCTCCAGCATACCACTGACTTATACCTCCTCCACTCCCTCCTAACCTCAGCTGTCCCTCAAACTCTCCACTGTAAACCTCCAATCTTCTGCCAAGAGTAGAGGGGCAATGCCTATTTGTGCAGGGTGGGGAAGAGAATCTAGGGTTGCAATGTCTTCTTATATAGATCTTATACTTTTGGCTTAAATTGTATACCCTAGTTCTAGGGGCACATACTTGCAATTCCTGACCATTTCTGCATCTTTGACTCAGGTTTCTACTTCCTCTCATGTGCCAAGTAAATTATCAATAGTCCATCTGGTTCCTTGTCTTTGTGGATTTATTAATGTTATTATATTGCAATTTCAGAAGTAGGTAGAAGTGAATGTGGGCTTAAATTCAACATGTTTAACCAGAAGCCCTGACCAAGCAATATCTGAACTTGGGAAGAGAATGAGTTTATTCCCTGTTCATTGTTAATTCGTTTAATAAAATTTAATGACCTCCTATTATGTACCAGATATTCTTTTAGGTTCGTATGCTGCATCATTGAAAATGTTTCTGTCCTCATGCTGATTATATTCTATCAGGGAATTATATGGTATTATTTGCATCTGGACTAACCAAAAAACTAAGTAAATTGTCCTAATTAATAACTGTGACTACAGGAGCAAACTAAATTATTGTTAATACAGTGAGTATAGGAACATAACTATACTTATAACTGGATTAAACTATAATTAAACCATAGTAGAAAATATTTTCTATCATGAGAATTTGGCTGTCTATGCTCTAAATTTTACTACTAAAAAAGTAAGACAGATGACAGCATTATTACAGAGCACTGAAAAACAGTTGGCCATTATCAAAAGCAATGACCCCATTTAGTATAGGTGGAATTAGAATGCTCCTCAAAAAAACACTTGAAATATCTATGCGGCATAATCCTCAGCAACAGTTCAACATTAATATTTTGTTATGCTATATATCAGTGGTTCTCAGACACCAGTCTACAGACAAGTACTGATCCATGACAAAATTTTCACTAGTCCATGGCAAAAAATGTCAATACAATGTCATCAAACGTCTTTTTGACGAAGGACTGCCCTTTATCCTGAGATTATGCCCTTAACATACTTTTGATGTTAAAATGTTTTATTTTATAAAATGACAGTGATAATAGATGGTATTGTTTGTTTTTTCAACATCCTTACTCATCAAAATAAAAAGCTGACAATTCTATTCTTGACACTTTGTTTGAAATTTTATTGTATGAAATCTAGCTCCTTTATGTACTACTATGGTTCAGGTTTTATTTTATAAAATGACAGTGATAATAGATGGTATTGTTTGTTTTTTCAACATCCTTACTTATCAAAATAAAAAGCTGACAATTCTATTCTTGACACTTTGTTTGAAATTTTATTGTATGAAATCTAGCTCCTTTATGTACTACTATGGTTCAGGTAATAATTATGATAGTTAAAAAGAAAGGCATTTGGATTATCTATGATATTAGTAGTCATAGTTAAAAGATCCTGGAACCGTATTTATAGTCCTTGTTAACTCAGAGAAACACATAACTATATATCTGTGACTGCTGTAGGCTCTATATTATTTTACAATACATAAGCATTGGGCTTACGAGCTCATGAAGAAGCAATTTAAGAGCTATGGTTTTAGTATAACTGATCTAACAAAATTGGCAGCTCTCACATATATAGGAAAAAATTTTTTCATAGTATATTGTAGAAACAGTGCTGGATTAGAATCAGGATAAAGGTTTAATCCTGGTTTTGCCACTAGTTATAAAGCCTTGAATTACATCACTTACATATGCTAGGTCCCTATTTCATCATGAGATGAAATAGTCGGATTAGCTAATTGATAATATTTTGTTCACGCTAAAAATCTATGTTTCAATTCCTTTACACAGATTAGGAGATGCTCTTAATAAGAGCTGCTTACAAAGAATTTGGGTAAATTCTATCAAATGTTTCTTGGAGAAGATTTGACATATTAGAGAAACAGTCCCAGTTACCAAACTACAAGGCGGGTAGAAGAGATGGGAGGAATTAATTGCTTATAACCGGACTTGAAGAGAAATTATTTTACTAGTCTTTTACTGGAATATGTAAAGGGATTGGGGGAGGGAGAGCTATGACTCTAGCACACCTCTGTCTTCCTTTTCTAGTTCCAACTCCTACGGTATTGGGGGCAGACAAGAGAAATAAGGAAGGCAAAACTCTTTACATGACAAGCTATAGAACATCAATGGTGAGGATATAAATCTTGCATTGCTCAGTTAAATTTGGTTCCATTCTATAATGATAGATTCTGTGTAATTTGTTGGGCCTGGTGCAAAATGAAAAAGCAGGGGGTTAAAAGGTGCTATTAAAGGTACTCAAACCTAAAATCTTTTCATTTCTTTGCAGCAGTCTCTTTCTCTCCCTCCCATCCCTCTGCCCCATCGTGGTGCTTTTTTATTTAACTTCAATGGTCTCCTGGGCAGGGGGATACTCACAAAGCAGATGCAGACCCTGACAGATGCCTAAGGGCCTCATCACACAACTCAGCATGAATGAGATCCACCATCTACCAGGTCCCACTTCCAGCCAACTGTTGAACCCATGTCCCATATCCTGGCCAGGAGTGGGAAAGTCAATCGTCCTTTCCAATGGGCTCTTCGCCCCAACCCACAGCAGATGGGTGACTCCCAAGGGACTGCAACCACCAGGCAGGGATGCAATCAGTACCTGGATGGGAGACTCAAACCCACCCCTTGCCAAGTCACCTGCCTAACATGCCAAGGCAATGCCAACCAACCTGGAATAGGGACAGCTGTGGGCACACACACCTAACCTAGACCCTCTCTGCCTGCACCTAGGCCCCCACCAGAGAATAAAAATCAATAGTAAAAGATAGGCTTTCCTCACAAATGTGACCCAGTTGACTTGCAGCAGTGGCAGGACAGAAACAGGGAGGAAGTGGCCAAGCAGGACCCAGAGCACCAGAGGGTGAAAGATCCAGCAGCCAAAAACCAGTCCTGGGAGACAGTGAAGATAAAACAATGCCCAAACTGAGATTCCAAGCGCCTGGTTCAAGCTCCATTGACCCATCAGACTTAATTAACAAAATGTAAATTCAAAGATAAAAATTAATATAAACTTCAAGAAAGTGACGGTAAAACATTAAACCTGAGGTAGGAAGTCCTTCTGAGTGTGGGTCATTATGCAACTGCACTGGTCACATATTCATGAAGCTGGCTCTGGCCTCTACTGATGGTAGTCTCTACAAGAGGTGACTAGTTTTAATGAGAAATGTTCAGCTTTACCCTGTCTCCTTTGCTGCCAAGAACCCCTTCAGAGGTCCAGAAATACCTTCTACTGGCTACCCCAGTGAAACATGCCCCCAGCTCCTTCTCTGAGTTGGACATCCCATAACTTGGCCCAGTGGCACCCAGAGCAGTTCCTGCCCCTCCACTAACCTCTACAATCCTTCACGTAGAGCCAAGGAACCACCAAGGTTCTCTCTAGTACACTCTTCTGGGGATATATAGTATCAGAACAAGCATAATACACTCCAAAACTTTCCTCTTTAAAATTTCTAGACCACGACCGGGCATCAGTCTGTATGTTCTTGGTAAACTTCCACACTTCAAGAAACATACGTCAAGCTCTTCCATATGAACTTGTTTATCTATATTTTACTCTACTGGCAACACCAGAGTGGACCTTCAGTTTTCTACAGCATCTCAAACATCCATCCAAGGAACAAGACAGCAGCCTCTACTTCTTGTACCCCAAGCTTTACAGAAGATTTTCTTGTGGACTCCTCACTTAGCTTCATGAGGGGAAATGCACCCCTTCACTAGGGATATAAGAGAAAGGCCTCTCTTTTTGAGCCCTGCACTCCCAAAATATCAATGACCATAATGTCTTCCACTCCCCATTTTCCTACATACACTGCAAATAGAACAATGGGGTGATTGTTGGGGTAACAGTGCTCGTTCTATCATATTCCTGTGAAAAGGAATGTGCCCCAAACTTCTGAGAGCTGGCTGATTGCTCTCTTAATATGTGGCTGACACTTTGATCTTTTATTTTTGGTTTTGGACCTTGGCCACAATTCTAAGACAAAGAAAAAAATCCCATTCATTCTATCACAAAATAAAGTGAGATGCTGTACTTGATAAAATTTAACATTTAACTACTGACTTAAATGTTGAAAAAAAAGTTCTTTTTTTTTTTTTGGTGGCTATTCGGTATGGGGATCCAAACCCTTGACCTCAGTATTATAACACTGCACTCAAACCGAGCTAACTGGCCAGCCCTGTTCATTACTTTAGACACTGATACCAAGTTGATGAAGGAGGTCAATACCTTCCCTAAAATTCAAAATGATCTTGGTAAAACTGGACAGATGAATGCAACTGAAGAGGAGAAGCTTGTTAAATGGAAATATACTAAAACCCGTGTGTGTGTGTGTGTGTGTGTGTGTGTGTGTGTGTGTGTGTGTGTGTAAAACCCGATTAATTTTAGCACCTTCAATTCTGCCTCCATTTCAGTATTAGCTTGAATTTGTTGCTGAAGTAGCTGCTGCATACGTTGAAAAGAAATGATGATATCCTTAAAAAATAAATAAATATATATCAATTAGAAAAATTTTAAGATAGTAGGTATGTTTATAAACTCATTCTTCAAATACATTTTGTAGTTTCTTAACCCGTTATCTTCATAGATTAATTTCAATACTTTAATGCCACATTTTACAATTTAATATCTAAAATAACTTCTATTACATGATTTCCTACAAAGTACTGTTTCTAAGAGTCCCTCAGTTAACAGTTTTTTTTAAATGGACTGTGGATTCTAAGATACTACCAAAAAGTGTGAAAAATTCAAAACTAAAATAAACTTTTGTTGGCTTGACCCCTCAAACAGTAAATATATCACTACTAAAATGTCACGAGGTTATAATATAAAATGTCATAATGGGCTAGAATGTCATGGCATGCATTCAGAATCAAATGGACAGAAAGAAGAAGAGAAACAAGACAAACAAGAGAACAATAGAAACAAGAAACAGGAGGAGTTTTCTTCTACAACTTTTTTTAAAATAGAAGAATTATAAATATCAAATAGATTCAAATGAGAGTGTAATGTCCTGGAAAAGCATGCATTAAGCATAAATACATTTCAATAATTTTATCTGCTACGGTACTACTGGTCTAAAGTATGAAGGAAAAAAACTGATTTATTTTTTAATGGGAGTATATGTGAGACTAGTTATAAAGGTATATATGCATCCATTCAGTACACATTAACTGAGTGTTTACAAGGTGCTACACATTGAACTATGCATGATCCCATTTGTTATTTAGCTTGTTTATTTCCCACATTGTATCTGATTTTTAAAATATTTATTGGCTTCCAAAATATCTTGTGATTGCTTACCTGTTTTTCTCCTTGAATATGGGTAATCTCTTCATTAATCTTCTTATTTAATTCCAATTCCTTTAAAGATTTGAGTAATTTTAAAGTTATGATATAAAATCCAACAAATTCTACATTCAATTCAGTGCTCAACAAATTTGGTAGTGTCATGACCTATTATTACCCCAGACTACTTACATTTGTTTGTGGTTGAAACAGTGATTCTAGTGAATTGAGAAGGTATTATATACCCAATATAGGCTGGTGCAAACTTGTAAATGCTAAAAACTACAAAATTTCTCATCTCCAAAACTGTTCTGGAGACACCATTGTAAGACAAGATTTTCTGAAACCATATTAGTGGAAATAAACTGGTTATAGTCAATTTTACTGTCTTAAAATCCTGTTAATGGCAAAAATTACCTAATAATTTAACAGATTCATAATACCTTAATTTTTTACCATGTACAATAACTTTACAAAGAAGGAACTTTTTTGTTATAATCCTGAAATTCTCACCAATTTTATTAAAAATATTAATTTATAAACATTAATACATTTAATCAAATACCATTTTGAGTCTTTCTTGAAGTTCTTGAAATTTTTGTTCTTTGATTGTTAGACTGATGTTTTCTTCTCCCATTTTATGTTGATATGTGACCTTGGACTTGATTAAGTCTGAGGCTAATTTTTTTAGTTCCTTAACATAAGAAACATATCAAACAGAAAATTAAGTATACAATTTCATCAAAGCAAGGTACTTTCCTGACAGTTTCAAAGTCCACCTTTAAACCTATCGTTATAATTTGCTAAGTTTCATATACCAAGATAATACTACTGGTTCATCAAGGCTCATTTACCCTAGTTCCCTTGTAAGATTGGCCAAGGTGGGAATGTAATCTGTGGCTATGGAACAAGCAAAGCCAATCACACACGGATAGAATGCATGTCCTTGGACCTTAAAAAAAGTGTACTAACTAAATGAAGTAACCAACCAGACACAGGGGGTTTTCATTCATTACTTATTCAACATTTTCTGAGATAAAAAGATGATAACAAAGGATTCTCAATTCCCAAGTTCGTTAGCATCTAATAAGAAATATTTATGTAAGAATTACAATACAATGTAATGAGTGCTATATTATAAGAACGTATAAGAAGCATAAAGAAGGTAGCAGTTTGGTTGGGGGCATCAAGAAGGCATACATGGAAAGGTGATATTTGAACTGAGTCTTAAAAAATAAACTTGCCAAGGGCCGGCCCAGTGGCGCACTGGAGGGTGCGCCGCTTGTGAGCGCGGCAGCACTCCCGCTGAGGGTTCANTACAATTTCATCAAAGCAAGGTACTTTCCTGACAGTTTCAAAGTCCACCTTTAAACCTATCATTATAATTTGCTAAGTTTCATATATCAAGATAATACTACTGGTTCATCAAGGCTCATTTACCCTAGTTCCCTTGTAAGATTGGCCAAGGTGGGAATGTAATCTGTGGCTATGGAACAAGCAAAGCCAATCACACACGGATAGAATGCATGTCCTTGGACCTTAAAAAAAGTGTACTAACTAAATGAAGTAACCAACCAGACACAGGGGGTTTTCATTCATTACTTATTCAACATTTTCTGAGATAAAAAGATGATAACAAAGGATTCTCAATTCCCAAGTTCGTTAGCATCTAATAAGAAATATTTATGTAAGAATTACAATACAATGTAATGAGTGCTATATTATAAGAACGTATAAGAAGCATAAAGAAGGTAGCAGTTTGGTTGGGGGCATCAAGAAGGCATACATGGAAAGGTGATATTTGAACTGAGTCTTAAAAAATAAACTTGCCAAGGGCCGGCCCAGTGGCGCACTGGAGAGTGCGCCGCTTGGGAGCGCGGCAGCACTCCCGCTGAGGGTTCAGATCCCATGTGGAGACCGGTTCCCACTCACTGGCTGAGCGTGGTGCGGATGCAACACCGAGGGTTGCGATCCCGTTGCCGGTGCCCGGTACGGGCGCGACACCGAGGGTTGCGATCCCGTTACCGGTCAGTAAAAAAAGACAAAAAGAAAAAAAAATAAAAATAAAAAAAATAAACTTGCCAAGAAGACAAAAAAGGGATAGACACTCCAGGAGAAGGTTCAACATCACAAAGGCACATAACATGAAAGAGCATGGTATTTTTCAGGGAAACAGAACTAATATGATATGGCTGGAACTAATACGTTATTGTGGCGGAAGGAGTAGAATATTCATGGTTGTGGCTACAAATTTGACAGGATTCAAATATTGAGAGGGTACAATAGCATACAGTATTCGCAGAGAGAGTTGGTTTTAGTTGTGATCTTGGGTACTGCATAGCCTCCCTAGTTTCTAACCATTTTTCAAGTCTGAGATGACCAACATCGCTCCAATAAATTCCTTTGCTGACTAAATCAGCTTGCAATTAAGAATCTTGACTAATATACTTCAATTTTCAAAGGTTTTGTTTAAGAATTGGATAAGTAATAATAACAAATTCTTGACTCTTTAGTAGAAAAAAGTTGATTCATTTAGGGTAGTGAGATTACAGGAAATTTTTATTTTCTTTCCAGAGTTCCATGTGTTACAGCTTTGGCCACCCACAGGGAAACTCGCCCAATTATATCTTGACCCCAAATTCAAAATGCAGGATAAAGGACTCATTGGTTTTAGCCTTTGGATGTGTGCATTACAAAAAAATAACTGCTAAAGTAACAGTGCGGGTAAAGAGATATGGGTCTATTCTCAGAAAAGCAGGCGGACAAATTAATGTCTGGTACAAAGAAAACAATCACTATGTATGAAACAAATGAAAGAAAGTTTGAATGAAGGAGGTAGACCTTGAGCTGGGCCTTGAAGAATGAGTACTATACTGGATATCCTCCATTTGCACCCTCTCCAATTTACTTTCCACACTTTCTCCACACTGCTCTGTGCCCTGTGTGTCTGATCTCTGGCTCCTGGTTGGGTTAAATCTTTGGGAGGAACCAGTAGACCAATAGCCTAGAAAGAAAGAGATTGAGGTATTTCCCCAGCTCCCTCCATACTAGACCACAAACTGGCAATGACTCTGTATCTTTACCAAAGGTCACAGCTTCTGAGTTGTGGCTTTCTTCTATAGCTACAGCTACAGCTCTCTCCAGTTTCCTGCATCTGCTTCATTCCCTTGTCTCTTCATGTGTAAGTATGGTAGTAATCCCCCCACTACTTTTATCGTTGGGGTGCTTCACCATTCCGTTGGTTTCCCTTACCTCTGTCAACAACTACGTAAATAGCTTCTTCATTAAACTTTTTGCGATTACCCATTCCAATGTGTCATCGATCTCCTGCCCACAACCCAGTAGGAAACAATGTTGAATATGTAGAATGGGCCAGACCATGGAAGCTCTGGAAAGCCACTTAAAGAAGTTTGGAACCTGAAGTAGTAGGTAAAGGAGAACTATTCAATCTATCATTCCTTCTATATACACCAAGTACCTCCTATGTGTCAGGAACATAGAAGTGATACAGTTAATCAGTATCTTAGTAAATTTAGTCTTGCAAAAGAGTGAATAAAAACTGGAGAAAAGAATACTGGCTAAGAGGCTATTATATTAATTATATGAATCCAGGTATGAGATGATGACTATCTATACTATTGAAAAATGGAGAATGGAAAATATGAGACATTTTAAAGGAAGATATAATGGACTAGAAAAAGAGACTGAAGTAAAAAAGATCATTCAAAGCTGATTCCAGAGTGTCTAGATGAAGCTAGAAGAAATGAAAAGGGGAACCATGAAATGTGAAAGAAACATGAAAATGGAACAAAAATGGAATGTCTGTTTCACTGATAAAGGAGGTAAAAAATATAATATTTAAGACTACATGAAACAAGAGATAGAAAATGTTCTGAGACAGACTCTTAAGGAAACCAAAAAAGCACCAGTCAGTAAGCCTGAGTCATAGGCTGTTACTATTCTCAAAACAAGTTATTCATTTATATTTTTTCAAATTATAAAAGGCTGTACATGATGACTTCCCCCAAATAAAGTTTCAATGTACCAGTGATGATTCACCCTGTGAAGGCAGCAAGATGGTTTCCGTTGAAAGAAGAGTCATATGAATTTGTTTTTCTAGGGTGGGGAGTTGAGAGAGTGAAGAATCCAATGTGTGACCCGTTAACTCTAAAGTTACAATAAGTCACAAAAGGAAATGATTCAATGAGAGATGAAAATATAGAACTGGAGATTAAGAGAAATGGAGGGTAGAAGTATATATATATATGAAGTCATCTACATGAAGTGAATGATTGAATTAAGGAGCAGAAGCTCATTGAAAGTAAGACTACGAAAAAGGAAAAACAGAGAACTTAGGGTAGAGTTTTGGAGGAATAAGAGGAAAAAAAGATAATCAGGGAGCCAGAGATATTTATTTGTTAGAGTACCAGAAGATCTTGAAAGAGTGAATTATTACATAAATATCATAAAACTAATTCATCTTATGTTTTATATATCCATCATTTTGTACAAAACACAATATTCCGATTAAAAACACATTGTCAGAGTATCAGTTAGGAAGCTTTGGTTACAAGCTATCAGAAAATCATAACTAAACCATCAAATAATTAGGAAATTTACTCTCACTAACAGGGAGTCCAAAATTAGGCAGGTTCTGTTGGTTGGTTCCAGCACTTGATGTATGTATGTTATCAAAGACTAGTTATTTTCATTTCTCCACTTTCCATTCTTGGGACTCTTCTTCATTGGACTAACAGCAAGAGACCAATTCAGGTATTACATAGTGATTGTCTCATTCTGGAACTCTTTTTAAAGAGAAAGAAGGTGTTTCCTTTAACCCCCTCATGCTTGCCAGAATTGGATCATATATTTATTCCTGAAACAAACACTGGTATGAGAAATAGAGTGATTGTAATTGGCTTAGAGATTGCTCATCCTCTGAGGTGGAATAGATGTTGGGGAAGTATCACAATGTCCATTATAGGAAGAGTTTTAGCCAACATTGCAAAAGTTACCATTTGTTTAGAATATTACTGATTACAAACACTATGCAGAACAAAATGAGGAAAGGGGACAAGAGCAATTCACCCACTTTCCTTGGGTCTCAGTTCCCTCTCCAGATAAGAAGAGGTTGGATCCAGTTAATTTTCAAAGTGTGCTATGAAAAGTCTTTTCAGTTCCATGGAGCCCCACCATGGCTGCTAACAGAAAGAGAAGCCAACAAGTATAGCTCCAGGGTTCCTCCAACCCTCCCTTCAAGCACAGTAGCTCTACCTTTACTTGCTACAATATTGAGCTCTGTATCTTGAAAAAAGGGTTCTGCAGCTCAAAAAAGATGAAAAAGAGCATATTAGATCTCTATGATTCTATGAAATTTAGAGATGATCTGTAGAAGATAGTTTGCAGAGAGCTAGTCATTACTGAAATACAATATAGCTCAAGCACGAATGGTGAAAGAGCAACTGATGAATCAGAATGAATTTCAGACTGTCCTACCAAATAAGGCATGTAAAGGTAAATGAGTGTTTTAGTCATCTTGAAAGCTTATATAAATAAATAACCCACCTATAGTTATGGCAGAAAAGATGAACCTGTCAAAACTGCCTTAATCTTATTTTTAACCTAATTTCACTTGCA